TCATCTCGCATTAATCAGAGTAAATGGTAAATAAACATTAGTTCTATCAAAATAGAGACATGTTGGTTTTATCAACTTCTCTTTTGCGCTGAACCTTTTTAGCAATAAAATTCTTGATATTGACTTATTCTACCCATATCTTGATCAAGGCAGGAAGTCTCTGCTTGTAGAATGCAAGGCATTGCCGATTGCATTGTTTGATAACACTGATAATTGACCCTTTACTGTAAATAGAATAACAAAATACTCTATCAAAAAGAAGGCCTGGCCTGGGTAAATATGCCAGTTCAGCAGGGCCTGTGTGTCACCTTGGTATAAAAGGGTACCTGAATGAAATCCCAGAAGTTATATTGGAGGTGCTCTGAAATAGACTTTAGGGAAGCATACATGTTGGTATGTGACTTTTGTGGAACGTGCAATTTTGTAAGTCTAGTCTTCAGACTTGAATCAGAGACCTTAGTTACAGGAGTACTGAGGCTCTGCTTCACCTGTTGAATTGGCATGTCAACCAATAAGTTGGCTACATGTACATGAATCCTTGAATAGAAACAGTCTTGTGGTAACTGTAGTTGTGATCATAATTGTAATTGTTACATGAAAAATCAAGGAATAGGATAGGTCACAAGGAAACAAATTATTAACAAAATTTGGGGGGCTACTTTTCAAACTTCCTTGCATGAAAATAACACTCTTTGATTAGTTTTGCATTGAACTTGATGCAAATTTTTTGTGGCTCTTTTATGACTTTCTGGGGCTCTGTTTGGCATTTCAGGGGGCTAAATCGCCCGAGCCCCCGTGTATTTTTTCACTTAGTTAGGACAGCAGCTCAATTGCTCCATCTGCTCCACCCTTGATTGGCAGTGCGTTGAAGTGGTAGAACCCAGTGAGGTCGAAACTAAAGCCAGTATAGTCACCTTGATGTTTACATTTCGCATGATTGTATCCTCCTGGCTTTCACAACGAATGCACATAGCCTTGTCATCAATAAGTGAATTGAATTAAATATCTTTTCTCCTATTTTCTTCCAGATTATTACTTTTGACTGGGCCATTAAGCTGCTTATAAACAAAATCGCAAGTGGATCAATTGCCAGACTTTATACAATACTATAGATCTGTTCACTAGTCTATTCGAATTCAAGGTTCTTCATATAACAAAAGTACTTGTGGTGATTTACTTGTTTTGTTTGACAGCATTTGGGTGGACAGAAAGAGGGGCCAAATAAAGCTGATTATCATAACTAAACCAAAATTATAAGTTGATATTACATGAACATTGACTTTGTTTCAAGAGACCCATTGCCTAATGTATAGGCCTATTCAAACTTATTGACTTTTTTTGTTGTTGTTAAATATTAAGATGTTGCTTTGTTGGGCAAGGTACTGGCAAGTCTACTGAGATCCTACTGTATGCATGGAACTTTACATTGTTGATAACTAAGTCCAATTATTAGGAGTGAGATATTAATTCATTTTAGCCAAGTTCCATACTCTTTTTAACATGTACCCCAGTTACACCACCAAAGGGACTGAAACCCAACCGAAAACAGACAAAATGAGGATAATTCAGGGTAGTGCTGTAACATCACGGATATCTCCAATTCCGTTTAACCGCCAGTCAAAACCGGACGGTTTTCGGTTAAACGATTTTTTTTTTTTTTTTTTTTTTTTAACTGTGAGGTGCATTTGAAGGCGCCGATTTGTGCTTGTGAACTTGTCACAAATAATAGTAACAATGTCGTTTTTAGAAGAATGTGTAAGATCATTTATGTAAATTAAAAACAGTAGAGGACCTAGGATAGAACCTTGTGATACACCGTGTGTACAAGTTGGATGACTTATTATAATAAACTACATATTGAGATCTATTACAATGATTACTTTCAAACCAAGATGACAGACAAATTGGATGGTTGTTCTAGTTTTGGAGTGGTAAGTCAACACACATATTACTGAGGTGGGAGACATTGCCAGGCATATTACAGGTGGAGAGGCATAAATCGAAATTTAAAAAAAAAATAAATAAATAAATAAAAAAAAATCGGGAAAACGAAACCGTCCAATTGAAAACGGAATCCGCCATGGGCGGTCGGATACCGGACGGTTAAACGTTTGACTACAGCACTAATTCAGGGTAATTTTAGTGTTAATTTAGTCAATTGCAGCTGTGTAGTTATATTCAGATGCCACATCATGTATCCCATACTTATAGCAGGGGCCAGTGAGACGAACTTGAGCTACAATGGTTTAGTCACCTCAAGGATTGTTTACTCTGCACCTGATAACTTTATTGACAAGGTCATTGTTACTCAAGTCTGTCTTTCTTTCAGCTTGCTCTGCAATTGAAAGGCAGGATTTTAATAAAAGACTGGGTTTTGTTTATTGAGAGAGATAAAGTGCCAGGTAACAAGTTAACTGTCTCTGTTTTCACAAGTCGATGTCATTTTCACACCAAATGGACCCAGCGCTGACTCACAAGATTTGGAGGGGGGATTGTAAATAAAGTGATGGAGGGAGGGGAGGGGGGGGGGGGGGTAGTTTTTAGTTCAAGTTATCATGTGATGAGAATACAGTGAAGATGGTGCACACATTGTGAACAGGGGCTTTATATCAAACCTCAAAATAGTATTTTGTCAAGTATTCATATTTATTTTTAAAAAAGCACTGAACAAATATGGTGCAACCATATTGCCTTCTGTATATCTACATCACCATGCAAGTCGATACTTATAAGCAGAATCTAAATATAAACTAAACAAACATAAAATGAAATATTTAACTAAAGCATATAAACTTTTAAGAAGGGTTTCTAGAACAAGACCTGCAGTGTCTAAAATTGCAAGTACAAGTATCAATAACATTAATAGAGTTTGAAAGCAAGTAAATTGGACCTTGGAATTTTTTTTTGGTATTCTTGGTTTTTGTGGTAGACATTTTTTTTCTCACAAATTAGTGTCGTGTCTGTGCTTGTAATATAGAAATGCAATCCTCTTTACCAAAGGTTAAATTCTGCCACTTAACAAATTGCAAAAATCACTACCACTTTTCATTTTTAGCCTTTGACTCTTTTCTCCTCTATATTACTGATATAAAGAATGCTTTTGAGCTCCGGTTTAAGATGCTTTTGCCGACAGGGATTCTTTTACAGCCACCTTCCACTCTGAATTTGAAAGCTCCGAAAGTTAATCTTGCATGAAATCCTTTCTTTTGAAGCCAAATGAATGAGTTCCTTGTGGCATTCGCACAAGGGAGCTGTGATTGGAAACATGCCACACACAAGGTTGAAGTTTTTACCATTCCTACAGATAATTCCGGCTTTGTAAGTTTTGAGTATGGTATCCTGTTTTTTATTGAAAAGTATACTATTTAAAGGCAAAGACCAGTATTGGAAACGCCCCAATTTAAAAAAAATGAAATGGTAAGCTCTTATTACCAATCTTGTGAAAGAATATGTTTTGACTAGTACATGATGACAACAATTTTGCCAGGAAACCGCCTACTAATTGATATATTTGGTAAATTAGTTTATCTATTGTTATGTGATAGATAAAATGCATGTGTCCCGCAAGTGTGCGTAGTCCCATATACGTCTTTCTGTGTACGGTGCTTGTAACTTTACCAAGACTGGGCCAAATTTCTTATCATTTTGATGATTCCAGAACCTTGCAGTACACACCAATACTTATATGCTAGATGATCAACCTTTTCTGATCGATTCCACAACGTTTCTTTCACAATGCAATCGCATGACCATAACTGATCTTTATCTTTAAGTATACAATTGAAAAGAATGATTCATGAAGTCAGAAATACATGCATTGTAATACCGGTATGCCTTTTTAGAGGCAAACTATAAAAAAACAGCATTGTAATGAAAATACTTCATGAAATGAGGGAAAAATGAATTAAAATGTTCGATGGAAGTATGGCTAGATGGTAATTTCTGCATAGAGAGATGTTGAGGAACGGTGAGTGTTCATACATGTAGTTAGTGAAAGTGAATTAGTAACAGACTTATTGAATTTTAAATATTGAATTGCATTAGCAAATACTATTTATTACCGGTAATATCGAATATCGATTATATCGATCATAAGTAACAATAGCAAAGCATATCATGTTTTTAAGTGTGTATGTATTGAATCAATGAATATCCATTTGAAACATGCATTTATCTGGCAAATTAAGGACTTTTTTTATAGGTGCACTGTCTTTGTCGCAAATGTTGCGATATCTGTTGACTCTATCTTTATTAAAACTGTAATTGAATTCTTTTCCCCAGTGCTTTACAGAAGGACTGAAATCCCCACATGTGACTCGGATAATTGTATCAAGGTTTAGCACATTAGGTATGTCATCATCAGCTCGAGATAACCAAATAGCCTGCTATTTCTGATTTGGGAAATAATCCCGAAAGTTACAAATTGCGACTTCACCAGCTCGTGACTTGACCTCGAAACTCAAAACTCAAGCTCGAGAAATTAGCTTGAGATATTTTGCTATATAGTGCAAGTCTTCGGGCTGGTGAAAACAAACCGGACATTTTGCAAACTAGCCCAAGATGTCTTGGATGATTATCTCGACCGAATATCCCGCTAATTGCAACTACGGGCTGATGAAGACGCAAAGTAGCTGGATAATTTGCGATCGGGATAGTTAAAATAGCGGGATATTTGGCAATCTCAAGCTGATAAAGAGAGGCCTAGTGATGAATAGACTTCAGAGTTGACAAAGCTTCCTTGAAGATGATTGATTTAGGGGGATTCTTTTTTCATCTAAGTAAAATTGAGTAATGCATTTATTTCATAATCACTTCGTTCATGCATAGACGGGGGTGGTAAGTCTATGGTTCATGTGAAGACAGAGTCAGGAATGAGGGATTTGACAAAATAGCGCACATTTCTTTTCTTACATCTTGAGTTTTTATTAATGTTCAAAGATAGTGGAAGAAAAAAAACGATGATTGCTAATCATCTTGAAACAAACTAATCAGTATATGTTAGTTTCAGTAAATTAAACTTATAACAATAATAACAACAGCGAATCAGTTGAATGTTAACGTAGTCTGCGATCTGAAGCCCTATTAATCGACTGCCAGGGGTTCTATGCTTGCAGACTACCGGTACTCGAGTCCAGAACAGTTTAATCAGGGAGTTAACTCTCTGGTCTAATGATCTGACGATGAAGCAAGAGGCTCTAGTTAATAATTCAAAAGAACATACCATAAGTACTATCCCAGTACTTCTTTTCTTTTCTTGAGGAACAGTTATAGTTGACACCTTTTCTTTGCTGAGCTCAAGGCACAAAGTGCACTTCATCAAGGCTGAAAAGAACAGCACACATCCTACAGGTAGCTTTAAAAATAAAGTTAAGCTATTCCTTTTGTCCGAGCAGAGCAGGACTTATCACAACCCCCCTTGTTCGTCTTCGGAACAACGGTGTGAGTCACTGAGTCATTATAGTTGTCCATCATCCCAAACCCCCACCCTCCCATGTACCTCTCTTTCTCCGCCCATTCAGGGATCACAATTGGGGTATTATGAAGGGGTCAAAATTGCTCCTGACGAGAGGCTAAATAAATCTGTGCTGGGTGAAAGGGACTCGCAATTGGCTGCCCAAAGCTTTGAATGGTGAAGTGTTTGTTTGGTAGGCGACTGGAGCTGAAACATTTTCGGTGTTGGACTGGATTCCTCCAGTGGCAGTTGTTATTGTGCATGCATATTGGCTGTTTCTTTGCACGGAAGGAGACTGTTAATCGTTGGAATAATCATATTGGTATCGGTAAGAAGGAATAGAGCCTTCATGCAGGAACAAACACATGCCTGATACTTCTCTGTATAGATAGTGAGTGGTTTTGGGGTTTGGAAGTTGGAACAAAGAGGAAACATTTTTGTCAAGCAAACTTTTGCATTAAACGTGGCCTCCCAGTCTTACATCATTGGATCATACAAGGGCAATGTTGTACATGCAACCTGGACTACGAAGTCTGTAAGTATCTACAGCTACATGTATATATATTTGAATGACTACAGGTACATGTAGATATATCAAGGAGTATTTCCTTGGATATACCTAGTATTATCTTAGAAATATGATTTTAAAGTTGTCATTATGATAATTTCATTTTAATATTCCTATTTCAAGAATAATTCTAGTAGCCCTTTGTTATAATTGATAACTTTGCCAAAGCAGTATTTAAAAAAAAAAAATTCTTTGAATGACTTTTTTTTTTACCTGACTAAGAAAGTAAGTTTATTCTTGATAAGCTACATGTTATTTTACCCTTTTCAGTTTTCCCAAATTTTGAAAAGAAAAATGTTATTAGGACAGATGCATTTTTGTGTGGGTGGACAGGGGTTATAAATCGAGACACTAATGCCAGGGGGCCAAGATCCCACGTCATAGAAACTAAAATATAAAATATCTTTGGAATGACTCAATATCACTTGAGATTTTCCTCTGGCAAGAAGCAACAATCCATCAATTTCTCACCCAATATTATTATCAAACAGAGTCTTCAGTTTGATATGAATTCCTTGACCCTACAGCTAATGCCCAAACCTACGGATTTCTGTAAATTCTTCGTAAGCTGCATTTACACTTCAAGCAAAAACTGTTAGTTTTTCTCACACAGTTTTCGTTGGAAGTAAAGTTGCTAGGCAACTACATGTACCTATAAACACAATAACACGACCCAAAACTCCAAGTGTTGTGGATCGTGGTTTCCTGAAACGCCCCGCTCAAACTCCACCATTTTTTTTCGTTTCCAGTGTAAATGCTCACTTTTAGAATGCCTGCGAACTACTGATATTCCGTTTTTTTTTGTCACGTGTCTCTCCGTGCTAATGCGTGCAGAGCAGTGACAAGTGGCATGTTCATACAACTCCTCTCAAGAAACAGAATAAGCAAACACTGATAGTTTTTATGGGACTAAATATAATAGTGTAAATGATAGTTCAGTGACCCTGATGGTTTTTCATAGATGTTTTTTCCTGCAATGTAAATGGGCCTCCTGTAACCTTTCCTGAGCTTAAAAATTGGGTCAGAATGAAGGATAACCATAAACTTGTTAATACTTGCTTTCAGAAACTGAAATGGGAGTAAACAAGTGTTGACATTCCAGCCCTGAAATATAAACGAAAAAAGATTAATATTTCCCAGGAGAATTATTATCATATTATGGAGCAATGGAGGAGATATTGAAATTTGGATTGAGAGCAGAGATGTAGTGTCTCTTCTTCTTTGGGTAGAATAGACCCTACAATAATAATAATAGTTTGTTCTTAATATAGCACTTTTCATGACCACAAGCCATCTCAAAGCGCTTAATACAGATATATATTATTACCCCGGTTGTGCAGGTGTACAGTAGAGTGTATGCCTCCTGTCAACTCCTGATCAGGGAATTTGATAATTTTTACTTTATTTGATGCTACATAACATGTAGGATCATTATATAATCTCTTGACTGCAGTTAGCTCTAATTTACCTATGTGCCCTAATGCCCTCCGACTATTCGCAAACAGAATGTAGATGATTTACACAGAGAATTACATTGGAATTTAAGAGTAATTAAAGGTAATACAAAGTTTTAGTACGGGGTCATGAATTTGGTTCAAATGAACATATTGGAAGCATATGCGGTCCTACAATATTCAGTGATCATTGTCGCGGTTGAAATCGAGTCTAAAGTTATGAAATTGTAAATAAATAACTCTTTATGTTGTATAGCTCCCTCTCAAGGTCAATATATAAATTAAGCTATAAAACAATGTTTCTTGACTAAAATATACCGATTAGTTGTTCCCGTTCGGAAATTATATATCACAGCTACACATTCTTAGATTTTCATGGTCGCAGCTACCATTGCACGGCCGTAGGCGCTATTTGAAATTTATCAAAATTTACCGGGAGCACCGGTAAATTTTTATATTCAATTTTTCTCAAAAGTAGAAGTAGTTTAGGGGCTAAATTTGCTAGTGCTTATATTACATCCACAGGGGCATCCAAATATATCAAAATTGTAAAGAATCATTATCCACCCAATTTTCAAAATTTCCCAAAACTTTGTATTACCTTTAATGCTGTTGAGGTTGTGTATCAAGATCAAGATGCCCTTCAAAGTAAGCTTAGTGTTTTTTCTGCACAAATCATTCTCTTGTCCAAAACCTGTAAGAAATAATACTTTCATTTTAGTTGTGCCCAAAGTAGAATTTTCACAATCACAAAATCAGGCCTCGTCCCATTCCCTTCCTTATCCCAAAGGCTTTTCTCATCACGCCACTGAGGTCTGCATAGAGGATCACTGTAGCATATCCTTCATGCCAACATGTAGGACATGCTACAGCATTCAAAGAGCCTCGCAGCGCGCGAACTTCCATTTGTGCTTATAACGCCTTGATGTGTACTATAGCCACTGCGTGATCCTTACGTCATTGGGTTTGAGAAAGCCTGTCAAGGCCGAAACCTTGATGCATGTGAAATTGCCATAACAGATGTAAACAAGCTCTACATCATGATTACCCGAGCACTGGAAAAGATATCAAAACAGTGCCCAATTTCATGTTTGTTCAGTGTAATAAACTAACAATTATGAGTAAGCGTAAATATTTTCCATCCAAAACAATAGGTGGAATGTTGCTTTCAAACTAATCTGACAATGAGCATTCATAAAGTTTCCTTTCTTTTAAATTTTCAAGGTTGTAAAGTGTAAACTCACATTAGTATAAATTGAAAGTTGTCATGGTGTATTGTCATGGTGTATTGCCATGTATATATAAATTGAAAGTTTTCATGGTGACTACCATTGGAAGCTATGTGATACTTAAAGGGGAAGTCCACCCTGATATTAAGTTGGTTTTAATAGAAGCAGAAAAATAAGAGGAACAGGTTAGTGAAAGTATTAGTAAAGTTATGAATATTGGAAGTTGCGATCAATCAAACACAAATTGGCAACTCTATGAAGTATCTTGTAAGCTTCTCTCCCATTTGCACTCTACTAAAAACATAAATCTGAATTTGTTTTCCTTCAACCATACATGCACCCTAAATGTAATTATTACAAATATGTGTCTGTATACTACCCCTGTATGGAACAAAGTGTATTCCGTCATCAATAACAAAGAGAATGAAAGTATATGAAATCGCATCAATGTGCATTATATGGAGGTATGTATTTATATGAATATAAGGTATCATCTACATGTACTAATGGGAGAAAGCACTGCATGAGTAGTGTGTACCGGTAGTTATTTATTTATTATTATAATTATCTTCTTTTTTGTGAGGGGGGGGGGGGTGTTATGACAGATATAAGGTATCCATGTTGTTATCTGACTCTAGGAGCTATGACATAAACATGTATGTGCATACCAAAGTGCATGCATCATACTGATAATGTACATGAGCACTTGAGCAGCCACTCATATTCATCAGCATGTATGCTGGGTACGTGTAAATAAAAAGCTCGGCCATCTCCTATGGCTCCAATTATACATCACCCAGTGGTCATTGTCGTTGTATCGTGTCAATAGAAGCCGTTTCTTTCTCTCTCCTGTCTTCCTTCTCTCTGAATATAATGATGTTTACCAAGTTCTGACTGACCAAGTAACAAAGTCAATTTGACCCATTGCTTACTGGAACAGAGTGGTGCCTGTATTTCATCTATAGGACCATTCTGTGCCATGTGTCCTGCATGCAGGGCTCGGCAATAATAAGAGGTGCCCTGGACTAATATGGATGCCCAACCCAAAATCTAGGGCCGGACCCCAAATTTCGTGAATTCCTACTTAGGGCTTAATGCAAAGAGGCCCCACAAATTTCAGTTCGGACCCCCAACGAAAAAAGTTTCCCCTGCCATGTGATATGTCTTTCAGCCATACTATTGAAAAACGTTAGTGATGTCAGAGAAACGCTACCGGTAGTCGATGGTCATATGAAGAGGTTTTTCATTTTAGAGTGAAAGAAATGGATAAAGGTCATATGCCATATGGGACACTATTTTCGGAATTGCCCTATAGATAGTACAGTGTATAGTGAAAGAGCAAATTCAGTAGTCGAGACTCAAGAGGTTTAAAGAACTATTGAATACTTCAAAAAAAAATTCTGTAGATTAGTGCATTATGATCTCTTGTATAAAATATATTGGGAATTTGCAAGAATTTTGTGTTTTTGTTTGAAGTGATATGAAAGTGTTGAAGATAAATGTATATAGTTGAGTTTGCCAAGCACTTGCAAAAATAAAATGAATACATGTACATACTATTAGTAGCAATAACCTTCCTCCATTTTAGAATATTTAGAAAATTAAATAAAGTGCATGTTTTTGCCATCAAAATTGGATATCAGATTGCCTTTAAAATCATCTTGCTGTTCTGTTAAAGTGATTATAAACTTGATGAAGCTAGTTCATGAATGCCCAAGTGCTTGGAAAGTCAGTTTATTTTTTGCTAATTTGATTGGTATTAAAACGGTAAATAGATATTTGAATACTTCATCTGTTTGGAGCCTCAATGGCCTTACCTAAAGACTTGTCTTGCTCTTGTGGCTCAAAGCTAGGCTTTATAACCAGGCCTATTGAAGTATTCTAATCTGATATATTATTCATACAACATCTGGTTCTTGCAGGCTGTTTTCCCAGGCCCTACACAAGTACACATACAAGATACTATAGGGCTACATGTATGCTCTGATAAAAGTATGTACATGTAGGCCTTTGTGCGAGTACAGCGATCTATATAGATAGAGATATTGTACAATGACACTGTTTTGATTTTTGATAGGAAATGATAGGAAATCAGGTGTGCATGAACTGAAAAACCATTAAACCACTTCCATTTTTGGCAAAGTTTAGGAATTCCTCTGATTTGAAAATATGTTTATTTTTCTTGCCTGTTTGACCATTTGGAACATAACAGTGACATTCGATGTTCGCTCTCTTATTTCTTTATTTCTGTATTGTCATTTCTCATTCTCCTTTTTTCTGTCTC